CCCGTAATTATAATTGAAAGGGAGGCAACTCTTGGTAACCCCAATTCCTCTCCCCGCAACTTCCTTTCTTCATTGCAGAGATACTCTGCTTTCTTGCCTGGGTTGGTAACTTTATCGACCGCATCTTTTCTCTCCTGGTCCCCCCCCCGGAAAGCTTTGACGTTCGAGACCCCATTTAGCCTAAAATGGAATATAAATACTAAGGTTTGCACCTTTTTTTTCAACTTTTGAATCAGCCAATGAGAGCCCGCGGAGGGGAGAGCCAGTGCTTAGCCGCTTAGAGGCTGGGAGATTTGCAAAATAAAATATATTTATATCTCTTAAAAAACGGGTGGGGGATTTCCTTCCCCCAAAAGGAGAGTTGAAATGATCATAAGGTGGTTCTGGCACAACTTTCAAAGAGAGATTTCAAGAAGGCCAAAGAGGAGTTGGTAGCAGGTAGCAGATCCAATTCTACCCCCAGGAAAAATGAGTGACACGCATACCAAGTGGGGAGGGGAGGAATAGATTGAACCTCCCTGGCTAGATGCAGTCTTCCCTAGAGTATCAAAGGCTGCTTAATAACCTGAGATTATTATATGTCTCCAGCCAGGCATCTGGAAATGCAACAGGATGTATGTCTCATTTATTTATTAAGCTTGTTTTACCCCTGACAACCCACCTCTTTATTTCAGTTTTATTTCTGGGTTTTGCTCTTCATCTGCTCAGTAAGTGCAGTTGTTGGGACTGTTGATAAAGTTAGTGAAAATTCCTGGTGGGAAAGGCTTTGTTTTAGCAGAAGCATCCTGTGGCTTACACCCACCTTTTTTCAAATAGAGACAATTCCAGGAGAATTTGCAGAATAGTGGTGGGGTTTTTTTGTTTTTTTTTAAGGAATAAAAATCGATGTCATCTGCGCAGGTCATGGAAATGCAAAACTCTTGCCAAAGACTTCTAGGAAAAAACATTCAGAGCAGATGACTTTTTAAAACAGAAATATTCTTTCTCGCTGTTGTATTTGCATAATCATGGGTTGTCTGAAAAGCAAAGCGGATGAATTCCAGGCCTCATTCTTGGAAAACCAAAGGGACTTTTTGTAGTTTGGAACATTTAATTAAGGATTTAGATGGGAACTGAAGTCCGAGGCTTCTAGGAGGCCATTTGCCTTATTCTCCAAGTAGTAGTGTCTCATCTTAAGCCAGTGGCCTACCTATCTGAATATGCACCCTCAGTTTGGTTCAAGGCACTACCGTACAATATCAGTTTTTTATTTTCACTGCTTTTCTTGATGCTCCTTAATAGATTCTGCCAGTTCTGCAGGAGTAAAATAATTGTTTCTACTAGTTCTCCCTCAAGATGCGACAGACTTTTTACTTGCCAAGTTGGTGCTGTGGGTCAGGCTGCAAGGAAGGCATGATTTCTAAGCTGGCCTCCTTAAACATCAGTTGAAATGTCAGGGGTGGTCCTATCTTTATCAGAATGTGGGCAGTGTGGTGGATCTAATCTAACTGGCTGCAAGATTCCGTTTATGAAGTGAGTCGCCGAGTAGATTCCGTGGAATTCTGCCCTATCAGAAATCCAGGCGGAGCCATCGCATCCCGCTCTCTATAAAAGCATCTTTCCCATTCATCCTTGCACTATCTTATGGGTTCTTCCTACAGTTGTCCCAACATAGGAGGTTCCATAGCCCATCAGCTACAAGAGGCTTGGAGCATCAGCCCAGATGTGTTCAGCCAGCATCTAGAACAACAGCCCAGCAAGGCCATTCTTGGCACCGGCCCTGCTCCCAAGCATCCTGGCCATTTTGATCACCAGAAAGCTGTGCCTCGCTGAATTGTGCAATAGTCAGCTTGGGCAAGTGACCTATAATGTTTTCATTGACGCAGCTGGTTGTAAAGACATTGGAATGCCACAATCTTCACAAGGGTCGAAAGCTGCCAAGAATGAGAGCAAAAATAGATCTTGGCAAAGGGGACCGTGCTACTAACTCACTGAACATCTTCCTTTCTTGCTCTTTGGACTAAAAGCACATTGAGGAGCGGGTGTTACAGGATGAAATCAAGCCAGATGTGACTCCAGCCATCAGCTGTGCCTTCCAACAAGCTTGGTACATTGTTTCCGGTTATACAAATGAGCGTATAGGAATTACACGATGCAGCCAAGAGTGGGCGTGTCTCCAACTTCTGCATGCTTGCTACACTAGAGCCCTCTTGGGTCAGGACAAGTGTCCAACATCTCCAGGGCCACTCAATCGGTCAGGGGGCTTTGAAAACTTACAAATGGGCCGGGTGACTGGGCTGTGCAGCATATTCTTAAAGCTCGGGGATTGCACGGCAGCCTTTGGTTTAATTTAATGCCACTGAACAAAATCTCTAAATATTGGGCGTCAATTTCTGCTGTCTTAAAAGTGCAACTGGGCAGCTTCAGGCGGTAATGGGTCAAAAATCTGGACTTTGGGAGAGAGTTTTGTGTCCCTGTGTTAATCGTAGGTACACATTTTTAAAAATAATACTTGCTTTTTCTTTTCTCTTTTAGCTCAAGGACCATGGGGACTCCTGACGCTGGGCACATTTATGCAGCCGGCGGACACCTGCAGCGATCGATGGCAGACTGGGCAGCCAAAAACCAGGACAGTCGGCGAGAGCTGATGGTTAAAATGCCGGAAGGACAGTATGTCCTGTGCTGCTGGACCGATGGGCTTTATTATCTTGGGAAGATCAAAAGAGTAAATAATACTTTCTCCCTTTCCCTTTCTCACGACCCTGATTTCCCCAAGCCCTTTTCTCGGTTCTGTTTTTATTTGTTTATTCTTGTAACGTCTGTATCCTCTTTTTCTGCTACAAATAGCAATCGTTGGATACTTTCACAAGGGAAGGAACAAAAGGGATCATGAAGAACTTTTGGGCCCCCAGAGCGGGTTGAGTTAGCTCAAATGGGGTGGATAGTTCATCGTTGAGGGGGTTGTTGGGGGAATCCCGCCTTTGGCTCCGCACGCAGCATGAACCAGGTGTCGCGTGAGATGTGAACACAGGAACTGTGTTTTGCTGTCTTAGTGGGTTGTAGGAAGGCAGCCATTAACCAGCACTGAAGACAGACTCAGAAGAGGGGAAGAATTAAGAGCGTGCACCAAACGGAAGGGGGTTGCAGAAAGTTAACTAGCCCAGCCTCAGTGGGGGCAGATACTGAAAAAGCCCAGTTTGGAGCTTGTCTGATCATTTTTTTGGCCCCGTTTTCATAGTAGATAGCTAACTACATCTCCCTCCGCCTGGAGGCTACTTTTTAGGTTGGGTTGGAGAGAGAATAACCTGTGGCCGTCTCCAAAACGATGCGTGGCCGTTCATACTACTGCCACTACCTCTCCCTTCCTTCCCTTATCCTCAGATGTGCCAGATCTGTGGACAGCTACATTTCTGTGCAAAATGTTCCTTTTCCCCCCACTGCTCATCCCTTTCGAGATACCCGGGAGGGCAAGGTTGAATCTTTTGCTCTCTGCTCTGGTCTAGCTTCATATCAGATCAGGCCCTGCGGTGTCTCTAGACCAGGGATGTCCAACCTTTCTCTGAGCTGAGCCTTTGAGGAGGGGGCTGAGACTTGGTGATGCTAGAATGTAGAGGTGTTTCTATCTCGTCAGAATGTGGTGGATGAAACAGAATGAGTGTGATAACTGATTTTGTATTTGAACGTGTTCCCTTCTGTTCCTTCAACACCTGAAATCTGAGGGCCACTTTGAGAGGGACTCCAGGAACACACTCAAAGTTTTCAGGGCTCCATGTAGTTCCTTGGCCTCTGGTTCCACGCCCTTTCTGTACCTGCGTACGGGTTTGACCTTGATTACTCCAACCTGCTTTTTTTTCTTTCCTTTTTCTGCATTTACAGGTGAGTGACGCTAAGCAGAGTTGCTTGGTTACCTTTGAAGATAATTCCAAATATTGGGTGCTCTGGAAGGACATCCAGCATGGTGGGTGAGCCCCCCCCCCCCGACTCTCCCCCTCAGGGAATTCTCAGCATTTTCAGGCACTCATGATGCAGATGGGTGATGGAAGGAATGAGGACTAGAAACTTGCAGGGTAGAACTGGAGTGAGCAAGATCACCTTGGAGCAGGTGGATTTAACTTTCTGCCAGTCAGAATTGAAGGCTTGTTTTGGGTAGTTTTCTGGTGTGCAAAGTTTGTGTTCGAGGGCACAAATTATTCAGAAATGAGATCCCCCTGCCCCCAGTGATTTTTTGAAATGGCAAAGTCCATTCTGGTCTCTATCGTTTTGGGGGAGATTATGCTGTCTGGAGAGCTCAAGGAAAGGGCAAAGGGCATGGACTGCTCTGAAGACAGAAGGAGTCATTCGGAAGACAAAAGAATTGCTCGGAAGACAAAAGAAAGAAATGTTCTTCCTCTGCTCCCTGTCACACCCTCTTCTGAGTAGTGGAGGGTTAAACATGGCTTCCTTTGCAGTAAACCTGGGTGCAGGGGGCTAGCTAGCCTGAGAAAGGATGTCTTGCCCAAGGAAAGGATCACCCCTGTGACTGGTAGTTGGAAAATGTGGGTTATCCACTTATTCTAAAGCGCTTTCCCCACCGGGCCACCCTTGAAATGGCTTGGATTATGGTGCTAATAGCCTCTGAATTACTGGAGCTCTGTTTTCTCTCTCCCTGCTTTCTAGCTGGTGTGCCAGGTGAGGAACCCAAATGTAACATCTGCCTGGGGAAGACAGCAGGGCCTCTGAACGAGATCTTAATCTGTGGGAAATGTGGACTTGGTGAGGACATTTTCCAGATCTCCCTCTGTCCTGGTTTCGGGTGGGCATGGATCCTCCATGCTATTCTTGTTTCTCTGCAAGGTGTGAGGATTTGAGGCACCCTCTTTGGTGTAGCGGTATGCAAAATTCAACACATTTCCAGCTGGGGTTCAAAACGCCCCTCTGACACTTGAAGGAGCTGTCCTGCCTTTATCAGAAGCCTTCAGAGCCCGAACGGCTTTTCCCCACCCCCAGACCCCACTTCTTGCTCCAAACACCTCTTTTGGACTCGAAAGAGGAACTCCATTCCACCCTTGAAACCTTTCAGGGAGGGTAAGAACAGCCTTAGAAGACTTCTGGCAAAACAGGCGAAATCCATTTTGAACTCAACCTCGTTTGAGCCACTTGTCTTCAAAGTGAACTTGTATAGTCCTGGAACGGGGTTGTTGGTAACGTCGTGGATGCTCCTGTGTCAGTTTGACATGTTCTGCTTCCCCTTCCTCCTCGACAGGTTACCACCAACAGTGTCACGTTCCACTGGTGGAGAGCCTCGAAGGGTCTTTGGTGACACCATGGTTTTGTCGGAGGTGCATCTTTGTCCTGGCTGTGCGGGTGAGCGGTGAGATCCATTCAGTCACGTGTGCAGCAGGCTTTCCTTTATGCCATTCCTGCAGGAAAATCTCAGGAGTTTTGAACAACGTTAGAAAGGGGGGCAGAGGTGCTCAGTGCTCTGCAAACCACAGATCTGAATGAGGGTCCCTCACTGAGATTTTCACATTGGACCACCTGATGAATGTGCTGCTTTGAATGGGATCCTGGGCCTTCAGATCGATTTGATGGGCTTTTGTATGCGCGCGCTTTTAATGGTTTAACTTGGCAACTGAATTGCAAATCTAAACCATAGGCTGGCTCTGAAGGAGAAGGCTTGATTCAAGGGAGTTTCTATCTTCTGTTCCAGATTCCAAGAACTGTTTAGTTTTCCAGGAAGAAGCCTTGGGATTTGCACAATTTTCTTAGAAAATCTTTAGAAATCTTGCTATTATAGAGTACATAAAAACCAGAATGAATAATAATAACCCCCCCCCCCCAAAAAACTCTACTTTGGCCAAAGCTGAGTCCTTAATAACTTTGACCAGATTTCTTGATATGTTTACTCATCCCTGTTAGTCACTTTCCTTTTCTTTCCCCCCAAAAAGTGATTTTTTAAAAGAAGAAAGCAACTAGAAATAAGGGGGGAGCATTTTTTTTAATGTATATTTTGGAAAGAATGTAAGAAATCGATAATACAAATGAATCAAATACAAGTAATGAGTTACAGGTGGGTAAACTGAAATATTATATGACTAATATATTGGAATGTACCATCAAAGCTTAGGATATTACAAGATATTTACATCTATTTTCTAATCAAAATAAGTCCCTATTAAACTTTAAGCTAGAAGTACTTGGTTAACCCAGTTCAGATCATTAAAAAAAGACTGTGGTAGTAAACAATATGTTAGAACAATACTGCAAATTAGACATCAAATTAAGATATAAATTTGAAAGCCCGAATTTTGGGTGTGACACGATTCTATGAATAAATCGGTAGGGTAAGAATGGTTTCTAATCAGAATTATATTTTACATCAAAACTGATGAATTAAATTAAATTAAAACTACTTTTTAAATACAAAGGCCACCTTGTGTGTTTATCGAATGATTATTGCATCCTGAGAAATCTTCTGCAACTTTCCATTCCAAAATGGGGCTACGGGGCATCCATGGGGAGGTCGAAAAAGTCAAAATGGCGATTGCCACTGGGTGATCAAAAGTCCGGTCGATCTTGAGACGCGTTGTGTGGGTGACATGTACCAAAGGAGCTTCGGTCACAGGATGGCGGCTGTAATCTTGACTTCACTGGGCCTCTTACAGATGCCCCTTTGACCAACAGATGTTGGGAGAAGAGGAATTACTGAATTGGGAACGGATAGGAAATGCTGTGGTTGTTGCTTCCCCAGAAAGGCGGTGCGTTGCGGAAGGGAGCGATCGCCAGGACGCTGCAGATGGTCAAAATGGTCCTATGCTACAATCCGGAGCAGCTGGAATGGGATTCCTTGCACAGAACGAATCAACAGCAATGTTACTGCTACTGTGGTGGTCCCGGCGAGTAAGCTCAACTTAGGACTATGCTGGGGGCCACCTAACTGTACAAGAGGGGTGGGTGAACTTTGGCAGCCGGAAGCGACTGTTTTTAAATTCATCCCCGAGGGGTGCAAACAATTCCATTTTTTACAACTTCGCAGTGGTTTAAGGCCCCCCCCTTTTTCACCCCTTGTTTGTCTACCCCTCTTGCCATGAGAAAAACCTAGCTTGTACCATCCTAGAATTTGGCACTCTGCTAGATAATAGAAGCCTTTGCTTGCAAAACGGCACCCCAACATGTACAGCCCATCTGCTGGATGTGCCAGTTACTTTCTCAGTTTAAATCTAAATTCCGTTTCAGATTTTTCAACATCCTTGCTGCATCCTTGAGATAGAGGTACAGGTACAGGTAGTCCTCATTTAGCAACCAAAATTGGGACTGCCAATTTGGTCGTTAAGCAGAGCAGCTGCTAAGTGAAACCGTGACTCTGCTGAAGATCTGACTTCAGCTTTCCTTCGCTTTACAGACCTGAAAAGGTCATAAATGTGAGGGTTGGTCATAAAGTTAATTTTTCAACACTGTCGTAACTGCAAACTGTATGAGGCGGTCGCTAAACGAGGACTACCTATATAGACATAGATCCAGGTATAATGTTTTCCCATTCCTTCTCAGGTGGTACCTGAAAATGCTGCAGTGCACTCAGTGCCGACAATGGTTTCACGAAGCTTGCCTGCAGTGCCTTAACCATCCAATGCTGTTTGGAGATCGGTAGGTGCGGCAGGAGCCCCGCTGGCTGAGGAGGATGGGGTTTGTAGTCCAACCCCTATGGAAGGCAGCAGCTGGGGTGGGAAGCTGATTCATGTTCTTATACCCATCTAACATCAATAATTGGAGCATATTCTCTCTCTCTCTCTCTCTCTCTCTCTCGTGTCTTCCAGATTTTATATTTTCTATTGTACCGTGTGTAATCAGGGCCCAGAGTACCTCAAGCGCTTGCCTTTGAGATGGTAAGACTCCCCGCTCCCCCCCCAAAAAAGAATATTTCCACACAGCGTGTCTCAGTGCACCAGGCGCCACTTACCCCTTGGAATAAGAGGAATAGCAAACCATGTTACGCCATGGAGCTTTTCCTCCATTCCGATCCTGCTGCGGCCAGGTTTTAAAAGTTGGCTGCAGATTCAGTCTCGTTTGTGAGAAGGGTCAGCCTTCATCATCAGCCACAGACCTAGAAGTGGGGTGGTGTTCTTGTCGTTTTTAGCACGATGCTCTTTTTAAAATTTATCCTGGAGCAGGACATGTTTGGAATCACATGGCTTCACGTGTGCCGTATTTTGAGTCACCGAGAGCCGAGGAGATGGGGCAATTATGTGATATCAGGAACCAAGTTTTCAAACCTTATTCAAAGGTTTTGCTGTTTAGATTTTTAGGAATTGTATGGTTTGGTATGCTAATCATTGGAAGCCTGTGGTTGAGGAGGAGGAGGAGGAGGAGGAGGAGAAGGGGGACGGTGATGAGGATGATATTTTTATGGAGGTATATAAGACTAATACAAAGAAAGAAAGATTTGGCCATCAGGACACGTTATCCCTGTTCCCTCGCCTTATGCCATAAAAATCGCCGTCTCCTTCCTGCCATCACTCCTCCCAACGGGAACGTCGCTGTCTTCTTTCTTTCCTGCACACACACAGGGTTGATGTCGTGCATCTTGCCATCTACAACCTGGGTGTGCAAAGTAAGAAGAAATATTTCGACTTTGAGGAAATCTTGGCCTTTGTCAATCACCACTGGGACCATTTTCAGCTTGGGAAAGTATGTGGCGCGAGCGTCAACTCCTTTATTTGTTACTTGCTTTCAGCTGAACACGAGCTGTCTTCCGGTAGAGCTGATCTGGAATAGGTTCTATAAGATGCCATTGTGGAATGAAAGATGCTTAGATTACCTCTCTGCATGGAAGTTTCACCTATGGCAACAACGTGGGTGCACGGCGAGGGTTTGATAGGGATCTCCTCCAGTCCCAACTTAGTATTAAACCTTTTGGCTGTGCAAAGCAAGTTCTCCAAGTTTTTGCCTCTTCTCAAAACCTAAAAGCAAGATTCCAGCAACAGCAGGCGGGTCTATGAAATTCCACAAATCTGGTTAGGGAAGGACAGGGGATGCTGGATTAGACAGAGTTTGAGCTAGTCCCTCAAAGGTGATCTTCTGTTGGTGCCACAAGCTAATTTGGGACTGATCGCGCCTTAAAATCTCTTCCCCAGCTGACTGCAACTCCTGTGGCAGAACGAGCCCCCCTCCTTCTTGATGCACTAAACAGTTACAAAAGCAGGTGAGCTTAAAAGGGCCTGGTCTCCCCACTGCGTCCCCAACAGACGCAAAGATTCAGCCGTCTGCATGCATTCAGAAGAGCCTCCTCTCTGTATTTTTCTGCCTTTAACTCTTTCCAATCAACCTGTGCTGGGAATATCTTCACAGTGGACGGGGCTGCCCGTTGCCTCATGCTGAGCTGTTGAGGACACTGACTTAAACAAAGAGGCCCCAAAGAACTCTTCGGTTTCTTTTAAAAGTTGCATCATTTTTCCTTTAAGGGTTGGGTTTTCACAGGCCTGGGAAGCCGTCATCATTGCCACTGTGGGCTGCGGATAATTCCTGAGGTTGGAGCAGGACTTTTCTGCAAATTGCAGAAAGTAAAATCAGAACGGTGATGTTTTAATACAGCGATACGTTAGGCAAGACTATCTCTCATGGTTGAGAAGTGTGTTGCTTTTTTTGTTTTTCTAATTTCTAAATGAAACCTCACGGAGCCAAGATTCTGGATTTTTCTTGGCGACTTTTCAGGTTTCTGTGTGGGAAGGAAATCAAGAAAAAGAAATGCATCTTCCGCTTGCGGGTTCGGGTCCCCCCTAATCCTCCGAGCAAAATCCTCCCGGAGAAGTTTGCAGGACTGGTCAGCGGCAGGACGAGCGAGCCGAAGAAAACAGGAAAACTCAAATACTGCCACAAAAGCAGGTCTGTGGAAGCAAGCAGAGGCCCTTAGCTTGATTTTTCGATCTCTCCCTTTGATCTTTGTGCCACCTGTATGATTTCTTTCTTTCTTTTTTCTTTCTTTTCTCTTTAGTTTGCTACCGCACCAATCCCAGCACGACAGGAGAAGGAAAAGGTCCAAATTCCTCCTGGAGGATGCAATTCCAAGTGTTAGTTTGCTAAAATGACGCGTTTGATCGGCTTGATAAAAGCAGACACCTCTTTTGTTGGGAATTGCCCCAAACTTCCTTATGGAATTGGGAGAGGACTGGCGGGTTTTCTTGGAGATGAACTTCCTGCTTGAGGATACTGGATAATGGCTGTTCTTTTTGCCCTCCTTTTCCCAGAGCGATTTTGCCTCTGCTTGGAGCACTAACCATCACTTGGCCAGCATCTTTGATTTCTCCCTGGATGAAATTCAGAGTCTAAAAAGGTAACCGCTTGTAAGCTGCATGTGCTCCTTGGTGCTAGGTGCTGCTGGTTCCAGATAAAAAGATCCGCTGTAGCAGGGTGAACGAGTGCAACGGTTGTGGCTGGGAGGCCAACCTTTAGCACTGCAAAGCTCTTTCATGAATCCTGGCTGTGCTGTAAATTCACTCAGCCAGGGGTAGAGAACGTGGTCTGATGATGTTGTAGACAACTCCCACCCTTCCATGCCATCAGCCACGCAATTTGGAGCTGAGGGAGCTCTGAAACATCTGGAGGACCCCTGGCCTTGGCGGACCAAGGGAAGCTGACCTACCACCCTTTTAGGCCTTGGGGCTGCAGAATAGCTAACCAGACAAGCTGAACTTCTGTGAACATTAAAAAAAAAAAAAAATCTGGGTCTGGTTCGTCTCAGTTGAACTCCAAGTCCTTGCAAACTCTTGCAAAACCCAAATATTGCAAATATCCCTGGTCGGGCTGCTGAGTGTGCGCCCTCTTCACGTGCGCAGAAGCACTGCGGCTCCTTCGGGGGCTCCACAACTCAGCCTTGGGGTAGGCTTAGCTGAGCGGTGTTAATTCTGATTTTCTCACTCCTTTCTAGTGCTAGCTCAGGCCACGTTTTCCTCTCCGACGTAGATTCCGTGGACGCCGCCAGCACGTCGGGGTCAGCCTCAACTAGTCTGTCCTGTGAATCGAGGTGGTACTAGTCCTTTATAAACTCAAAATGCTTCTCCCTTTAAAACCTGGTTCACCCCCTGAAAGTTGTATAATTAGCCTGTGGAAAAAGTAAGGGGAAAGCAAGCCTGTTTAGTCAAACAGGCTAGCCCTGCTCCCACGACCTGCTGATTTCTTGAAATCCAGACTAGTTGTCCTCAGTCATCAACCACGGTAGTTCCACCCATTGGGAAGAAGCCAGCTCAGATAAGCTTGATGGCCAGATTTCAAAGCTGGGAGTTAAGGTGGTCCTTTGACAACAATTCTGGGTGCCGTAATATCAAAATGCCTGTGGGAGCACTGGCAAAACAATTGTTTTCTTAATTTTCTGAAACACCTTCACAGAAAACAGAGTGAAATGAAAATGATTAAATTCATTATTCACTGTTTTTTCGCCCTTGGTTACTTCATCTCCTTTCCCATTCCAAACATCTTTGCTTGCAGGCTCTCTGTTGCCTTTGCAACACACAGATACACACACACACACACACACACACACACACACACCCCACCCATTCCCTTAAAGGCTGCATCTAGCTCACAAAAGACCCCCTGCAATTTGACAACATTAGAAACAACAACCCTAATCTCCAGCTGATCAGTTCACCTCGCGCCATAGCCCTAAGAAATCAGTGTTTTCTTACCATCTTTTGGCAGAAGGAACGTCGGGAGCCGGAAGCGCAAACTGTCCGCTAAAACATACATGGCCCGAGACGCCAAGCAGAAATGCTCTGAGCATCCTCAAAGGATTGGCCCCGGCTGCTCCTTGGAGGACAGTGAGCCAGCCAGCAGTCCGGACCGCCCAGACAACGCCATTGACTGCCACACTTTGGAGAGCTTGAGCGAAGATGACTTGTCCCTCTCCCACCTCAAGTCATCCATCAGCAACTACTTTGGAGCCACGGGACGGTTAATTTGTGGGGAGAAATACCAAGTCTTGGCTCGGAGGGTGAGCCCGGAGGGAAAAGTGGAGTATCTCATGGAGTGGGAGGGCAACACCCCCTACTGATGTGTGCCGGGGTCTGGCCCATGGAGCCTTAAGAAAGGAACAGGGTGGGGATGGGGGAACCAACTCCTAGAGTTGTACGATCAGGTGGCAAAGCCAGATTTGCCCTTCGCTTCCGTGGAGAGAGTCTGTTTAAGGCCAGTTTTGCAGCCTGTCCAAAGATCCTTGTTGTAAACCCTAAATGGGCCCTTTGGGTCGGGCTAGGAAAGATGGAGGTTGGGCTAGGAAAGATGGGGCAATACTTGGGTGGCCAAACATTGCTCAATCTTACCTCCGCTGGGCCTTAGGGGCAAAAGAAGGAATGAATTCCCAGGGCGGCCCTGTAGAGACTTTACCACCTGGGCAAGATGGGCCGCATCCAAGGTGGCGTCTCTTTTCCCCCAAGGTGGTGAAGGAGAGTGAGAGGCCATGCATCCATGGCGTCCAAGGGGGTGAGCAAATAGCAGTGGCTAGCACATGGAGTGAGCAGAGGGTTTGCAGTGAGGTGTAAAGCAGGCGGATATGAAGGCTTGTGTGGGAAGGCCTGTAAGAATGCAGCCAAAGGGCAGAACCTGGGCACCCCTCCGAGCTGGGTGTGCCCCCAGGATCCCTTCCCAAGCACATTTTTTAATGTGACAGAAGTGGGGAATTAGAAAATGCACTAGAGACATATGTATGGATTCTCCTTAAGTTGAACTTGACATTCGGTTGGTGAGGCTCCAACCGTGTCTGTTTTGGCTTGATGGTTTTTGGAATACGCCTCCCCCATCCAAGCTACATACCGCCTCGGGCCAAGAAAGGTTCTGCGCCATCAACGTTGCATCTTTTCGCGCCTTGGGGAGCTTCAGTTTTGCCTTGGCTCCGAGCAGACCTGCCGCCATTTTGCCGTTCTCTCTCCCCATTCAAAGCACGGCGATCGTTTTGCTGGGTCATCAGGATTTTTTGTAACCCTGCCCGCGAAGAAGCACTTGAAAAATGGGGCTGAGAAACATTCTCACTAGACTCCGAAATAAGTATTAAAAACAAGATGTCCTCAGCCTCCCAACAGCTGGAATTCTTGATCCTCTGCTAGGGGGTTTTGGAAACTGGTGGTTTAGAGCCAGAATTTTTCTTTGGAAAGAGCTGTGTAGGGAATTGGTCTGTGGAAAGATCCTCATACCGTGCACAAGAAGCTGGATTTCCCAGAACCTCTTAGGCTGTGAGCATAAATGGGCAAGGTTGGTGTGACCTTCCATAGGAGGCTCATTTAAAGCTAGCCAGGGCGTAGCTCCAGTGGGAGTTTTGGGGATGAACAGTTTGGACAATGGAGAGACAGAACCTGCATCTCTTCCTCCTTAGACTGAAGGTGGCACCTTGAAGGTTTAAAGAAGTTTCTTCCTCCCCCTGTAAAAGAGGCTTCTGCTTTTCTACCTCGTTCTAAGGGTGCTTGAGAATTTCTTTCAAATTTCTCTGGGTGTTTTTGAGCTGACCCTATGGTTGGAGGTGATGGAGAGGGCAACTGCTGGCTGTTTTCTGTTAGGTGCCTTTTCATGATTTTGTATCCTCCTTGGCTGGTCGTACTTTCTGAGTCAGAAGAGCCTCCTGGGCTGAGTGCCATCCTTGTATCTCTTCTTGCCGAAGAAGCCAGAGAGACTGCAGATGGTTGAGAGAGGATTTTCTCTTCTCCCTCTTTTCGTCCTTCTGCAGCCTCCTGAAATCCAAATCTGAAAAATATCCTGGAGGAGTTTCTTCTGTTGAGGCTCAGTAGAGAGATGGGAAGCCAAGGAGGCTGCAGGCAGCTGGAGAGAGAAATCTATGAAGAAAGGCAGGACCTCACTTACCCCTTGACTATGAAATAATACAAAAATGGCACCCTTCACCCAAGAGAACATCATTCACGTTCTCTTCTCCTTTGAAGGAAACTTCAAGTACAATTTCTTCATCTCTCCAATTTACAATGGTAGAAAGAAATGCAGGAGAAACTTTTAGCAGGGCACCTATTATACTGCAGGTAAACTTGATTACAGTGACTACAAGTGATGAATCCCTCCCTCCCTCCCTCCCTCCCTTCCTTGCCAAAGCCAGCATCCTTATGTCCTGTGAGAAAATGGAGCTGCTGACATAAAATCTACACATTCAGGAGTACGAAGTGGTAAAACCCTGATCTGGAAGGGTGACCTAGGTCATTGAGGCTGCACGACAGGGTTACATTTTTTAGTTGTCCTCTATAAAATAATTCTTTATGTGCTGAAAAGCTAGCTTATCAGGGTTCTAAAATATTCCTCTTGAACTGGCCCATTGGGTAAGGTTAGTGAACTGAAGGGAATATAATGTCCCATAAAAAGAGGTTTGCAATTTTTTGACTGACTTGGATGAAAGCCTGAAATTTGGCTTTTGCATTTTAAGTGACCAAGGACCCTTCTTCCCTTTTACAAGTGCCTATATACTGAAAAGGCAAGGGGGTGGGGTGGGGGGGTTCAGAGAGAAAGAAAAGTTTGATTATGAAGTCGTGTCTTTTATCGTTTGAAATGCAGCGACAGAATATATATTTCTGTTATCATCCCCAGAAGAAAAGATTTGCAGAGCAGTTCTGAATTTAGTTGCATTTGTCTGCTCCTGTTTGCACAGTTTGGTTCTAGGCCCCTACAGACAAGAGAGGGCCTCTAAAATATACATTCTTTTTCCTCAAGAGGGATTCATTTGTATTTTTAATTATTATAATTATTATTTTTGCATTGGTTTGGACTGATCTTGTAAATGCTTCTGTGCACCTTCAGGGTCTCAAGGCTGCTGCTTTTGAATAACTGACCTTTTGTGTGTTCATTCCGTTCAAACTGTAATGTGTCAGATGTTCAATTATTAAAAAAAGTATTGATAATTTTGTCATGTCTCTGTGTTGCTGGCTTTGGGTGAGGGGAACTGGCTGTTTGGAGGCTGATTGCTCGATGGATGTGGGGGAAACCCTAAAAGAAGGGAAGAGGGCAGAGGAGGAAAAGGAAAAATCCAATTTCCTCTTTTCTGGTGCAAAGGCTGATTTCAGGCAGATGTGTCCGGATCGCAAGAGAATAAAAATCATAATTGATCGGTGTAACCTATAGTACCATAGTTCAGCCTGAGGTTCTTTTTCCAA